TGGAAATGGTTATATCTTAAGTGCATGGTTAAACTCCATGCATCCGTGGAAGAGTGAGGATTTGGCTTCTCTGTAGGTGCCTCTTTCAGGCTTTGTGGTTCTCTGTGCACTGATCATCTAGGCTGGAGTCAAATGAATTAAACCTTAAGCAACGCTTACATAAATGTGTGTGTAGTTAGTGAAGTTAGGCTCTTGAATTTCGTATTCACCAAATGGGTGGGGTAGAAACTTTTCACTTCCAGAAGTGGTGAGCGTACAGTCACGCACGTGAGGTTGAAGTTGTCTCCCATCATTAATGTGCAGAGCTGTGAAGACATTGCTGACAGGTAAAGGACCACAGAACTGGAACGTTTTCCACTGTCCCAGCATGCAGCCCCTTTCATAATAACCCCTTTCATAAACAGAACGTGCTCCATGGGACAGCAGTGATGTATTTTGCCTTCTGCTGGCATTATAACACTGTTCCAGCATCTCACTTGTCTAAATTATTAGAAATCTTGTCCTAATTCCCAGTCTACATTTATTCCTTGCTAGTTTATAACAATTTGTTCTTGAATCGTTTTCTTAAATTATTCCTCTCTTCCCCTGATGTTTACCCAGCAAATTACTGTTTTGTTGGTAGCCATATCTTTCTCAACCTTTGTTTTTCTAGACTTGACAAATGTGGCTATTTTGCAGAGACAGACCCAAGTTCCTCTATGTTTGCTTCAGGCTGACTGTAACAAGCCAACTCAGATCTGGATCTGCTGATCCATATTCATAGAGAACAAGATTGGAAAGAGTATTGAGAGGTCCCCCAGGCCATCCTCTACCCAAAGCCACCAGCCATGCTGACACACAGATGTCTTGCATCTCAGCCATGCTCAACTCAGCACACAGTGCTCCTGCAGCATGATCTGCTAAAGCGAGGGCCAAAGCTACCCAGTGTGTTGTCAGTTAAGGATTTTGGTTTTCTGCCCCAGTTTTTCTGTCCCAGCAGTATCTGCTGATAATGGAGCCTGTTCCATATCCCAGGGTTTCCTTCTGCACAACCACTTCCATCTCAGGTTGATTTCTTTCTTAGAACCAGGCTCAATGTGTTGCTCTGTTTTCTGTGCAAGCTAACTCTGACAGTTCCTCTCAAAGTGGATTATCCACATGCTCAGGCATCCGTCCAACCCCTGCAGGGACTGGGTATCCGTGTGAATGGAACAGTCGTGTGAGTACTGCAGCTTGCACTAATGTGGCAATCTGCCTTCCTTTGAAAAGCAGGGGAAGTCTCCTGGAAAGTGCCAGCTGGCTGTTTGTGTTTCCTCTTGGCACAAACTTTCCATGTTGCTAGAGGGAAAGGGAGAGAGACCTTCTAGGGCCAGCAAAGCAAAGGGGAAAAAGCTCTGCTCAGGTCATTGTGCACAAGACCAGAAAGGTGAACTAGACAGTGCAGCACAGCCTAGGGAGCGTGCATATGCCTTAATAAATGAATTTACAAGTGAGCACTGAGCTATACTTGGACTGCTGAGGAGAAGAGGTTAGGTCTGGCTGAGAATTTGGTGATGAAGTTCAGACGGCCAAGGTCAGACAGATCTGGAATGCCAGAGACTGCGTAGCAATCTGCAGGGGAAAACTCCCTAGGAAGGTTACAGGTTCGTTAGGGAATCTTCCCCCGTGGACTGCCAATCTGCTCTCAGAAACGCCTATAGATGTCCTTTTTTATGTACATTCTGTCTTCCTTTCGTACTGCGCTACAGTGTCATACTAAAGCTATGTTCTTTTCAGGCAAAGTCAGGTTGTGGCAGTGTTATTGGCTAGTGTCAGAGCAGCGTAGCTGTCCTCACTTTTCTTATTTCTAGAAGTGTTTAGGGAGCAATAACTCGATCTTATAACTTGTGCTTTGGAAAACCTCCCTGCTGAGAGTGTATCTTAGTGGGGTTTATTGCAAAGTGTATTTTATCCTACTTTTCTTTCCCAAATGCTTCTAAGTGGGATGCCAGTGTCAGATAGCAGTGATGGAGATGAAAGATCTGCTTCTTTAGAAACCTCCCAGTAAAGATTGCTTTCTGGAGGAAAGCTGGGGTAAGACATTACTCTAAGGACTCACATCCTCAGTGGGAGGCTACACAGCAGAAAAAATAACCTTCCAGTTCAGAAAATTCAGCTTTGAGAGACAGAAGGCAGTACAATCAATGGCAATAAAAATGTGAAGTAAAATACTTTAATAATGAAATACTTCAAAAGAAATCCCTTTTTTACGGCCTCTAATCTAAAAGATGTGCAAATAGTATTTATTGTATGCAGGGGTTTTGCAAACTCATTCACTAAAGTCATTGATGGAACAATTAAAGGTCACCGTTGAGGGATTATAGAACTAAGAGAGAGATCTGCCTCGGGTGGAATGTCATTTATGCATTTCACCAAATTTGTTAGGTTTTTATAGGGCCAGCAGAGGGAGATTGCAACGTTATCTCTTGGGTCAGATGAGATTATATGGCTCTGTACTCTAAATAGTTTATTACTCCCTGAATCGGTTTAGTGTGTGTTCTGAATCTTGCAGGAAAAGAACAGGCAGATAATTTGAAAACCTTCATCAGGCAAAATCCAGTAGCTGTCAGACAGATCCTGGCCAAGAACTGCATGTTTTTTCAATAACAGAGATTTGGGTAGCAGGCTAAGAGATGAGACTTATTTCCCCTTCTCGATTTGACTTTACTGCACTTACAGGCTCACAGAAGTGGTTGGTTACAGTGCCAAGGAAGGCTGGTGTGGTTTTATGCAAGATAGGGAGGAGTCTGAGCAACCTTCCCAGCCAGACACTCTCTTCTGTCTAGCAAAAAGTCCTCATCCTCTTGGAGTCAGCCCTGCTGTCGATCTGTGGTCCCACATTACTCTGCTGCCTCACCTCTTTCAGTTATATAGTTGCCGTCTTCCACTAGTAGGTGAAGCAGTTCCAGGTGTCTCATCATTTTGTCATGCTATTTTGGCAGTCGTTCACACCCTACGCTACTTGACCAAATACTGCTCATGGACCATAGAGAACAGCCTGTTTCTGCTCGTTCCTTCCCCGGCCCAGCAAAACCTTCTCTTGGCTGAATTCCTCCACAGTGCTGCTGCGTATCTTACTGCTTCCCATCGCTCTCGCTTTCCAGGGAAGATTGTAGAACCATCCTTGTTCACCACAGGTTAGGATGGGTTTTCACACGGCGGGGAGTAGCTGCCTCCCTCTTTCCATTCTACATTCTCAACTCACAACTATTGGATCTTCCTCACCAGATTTGTCCCCAGATTTCCTGGGGGTAAGATGTGGCACTTAGGGGCGTGGTTTAGTGGTGGGCTTGGCAGTGTTGGGTTTACCGTTGGACTCAATGATCTTAAAGGTCTTTTCCAACCTAAATGATTCCATGATTCTATGATTCCTCCTGGTGCATCTAGCAAGAGGATCTCAATCACCATCCGTAGACGTTTTCCTAAGGTTGCCATTTCCAGGGGAAATAAGAGGGAGATGCTTTTTCTTTCTGCTTACTGTCAGTTCCTTAATTTACTATAAATACTGTTTGGGCATCGTTATGGCTAAGGACTTTTAAATGGAAAGTTTCTCTTTTGGAAAAGGAAGTGCAGGGTAACATTGCTGTACATTTGAAGACATGGGTTTATTTTTAGGAGAGGAGGAAAATTAAGTCTTCTGGATCCTGCAAATGCCAAGGTGGCAGAAATAAAAAAAAAAAAAAGTTTTAAAAAAACCAGGGAAACTATGAAGAATGAAGTATTTCTTAAGACAACTCCCTTTCTGGAGCTGAAACTAAAATACACTGACAGCAGAAAACACCATGTAGAATTTAAATAATATAAGCAATCTGCCCCTCTTGTAAAAGCTGGTCTCCCCTACTTACCCACACGAGCTTCCTACATGCCACCAGCTGCAAATGTAGTTGTACTCCTGATCCCATTTGACTGACTGCACATACTGAGCAGTGGGGGCTTCATCTCACTGTAACTCACCATGAAGTACTTAAGCAGTGTTCCACAGTACTGTGCAGTACCGTACTTTTTATTTGTGTCTACGTTGTATGCGCACGAATAGTTGCTTTCAGTTGTATATTTGTGGTGGTTTTTTTTAAACTCCTTGCTTTCAGCAATGTGGAACATAATGAGAGATAACTGGAATTGTTTCTAGCCTTTTATGCCCAAAGCAGCTGAGACTCCCATATGACTAAGATGAGTGTGTTAATTGTCAGTTTGCTTTAATGTAATCATTCAGAAACTTAATCTGTTGTTGAAATATTTATTCTGCTGTTGTTATTCCATTACTCTTTATTGTTTTTTATTCACAAGAAACTATTCAAGGTAAATATATAGATACACACACACCTGTTTTATATTTTACATGCACGTGTATGTATTTATACCTTTTTTTTTATTTATTTATAGATAGATAAGCAATGTAAACCGATGACGTTAGTAAGGCCATCACATAGTAACATGGAAGTAGGCAGCGAGGCAGCTCTCCCAATCTTGTGTGCAAGTGGTCACACACACAGCCAGGACAATCTGTGATTTCCCTCAGCATTCAGAGGGATCCGAGGGAGTGCATTACAGGCTTTCCTTTTCAGGTGTTTGGCGTTGGCCTTTGCTGATACAGTCTGTATCTCTTTGCTAAATTGGTTTGAAAGCAACTGATCGGTTTGAAAACAGTGCCCTGGTACGTTCTGTTAGTTGATAGGCAGATGGCCAGGGCAGTAAATGTATGCAATTCTAAAGAAGACTTGACTTGAGCCTTGCCATAAGACATGAAAAGCAGATGAATAACTTTTCCCAAGTTGTTTTCTGTCTTCAAGGCAAAGCATCTTGGCATTTGGGGCAGACTTTAATGAGAGCCAAAGGAAAGGAGAGCGCCCCAGTCCCCCATGCATTGCACGGAGCGTGGCCGCGTGTTTTTGCCAGGTGATGAGGAGGGACGACCCCCACGTGCAGAACCCGCCCTCGTCCAGGCCAAACTGTAGTTCTGTTTTCCTCATTTCTCTGCTTAGAATTAGACTCTGTTAAATATGATGAAAGTGCATTACCAGAAATACAGATATGCAGGTACTTTCTGACTGTAGCTGAAGGTTCCATGCCTGAACAAGAACCTGTATCTATACAGGCTGGCAGGCTTGGCGGCGTTTAGAGTATAAATTATGCATGATTGAAATGAAGTGTATTTTAGTAGCAGATAGCTGAAAAGCCTTGCAACGTTCTCCTAATTCAGCGGCATTGCCTTGAGCTACTCTGAGGCCTCTTTTTTAAACTCAGACATTAGCACAAAGCCACACCTCTGACTGCAGGCATTTAAAGATCAACAAGGGCCAAAAAAGCTTTTAAGATCCAATGAAACCAGGAAAACAACCGTGCTGCCTTTCAGTGTCAGGTTAGATTGCCTTCTTATGAGTGCAGCTATTTCAGGTACAGAGTGCTTAGTGGTTTGGGTCTTGTTGTGTGGAGAAAGTGTTCCCCAGAAAACATCTGTTTCTTTCACCTGCAAACCGCAATGTGCTGTGAAAAGGCAGGACTGTAGCCACAGAGACCCAGGGGGATGAAGGAAATCTGGCTCAAAGGGATGAGCATGGTTTTCTGAAACAGGGTATCAAAAAGAGCACTTAAAAGGAGAGCATGCTTTTAGAGCACACGATACACCACAAATTGGGCAGGTCAGGTTGCTTGGAAGCTTGAAATTCTTCCTGGATTGCCCATACTGTTTTCTTAGCAGCGATACTCGCGTTCTGCTCAGAATTGCAACAAGAGGAGTTTGTTATTTTCTTTTTCGGCAACTGTAAAGTGTTCTGCTTTTCTGTAAGATAACGGGAAATCCCGCTGTCGTCTGCAGCATCTAAAATCTGTATATGCAACATAGCTGCTGCTTTCCCTTTTGTGGTCATGTCTTCATTTTTATCTTACCATTATTGAAGTTCAGGTGTAGCTCTCATGTATGTACTACAAGTGTAGTGCTACACCCTTGACTTGTAAAAATCTTTCTTTACAGTATATTTTAAGCCAACAGATAATGTACACACACACACCCCTTACGTATATAAAATTTCATATAGATATAAAAAACAGTGGGTGGGTATAATGTATTCTATATGTATAACCTCATATATACACACCCATATATATGTGGGGATGTATAAAAAAAGTGCATATACACGTACATATATAGAAAGTATGTATATATGTGTATACACGTTAATATGCTATATCTGACATGTATATGTAATATACAACAAAATAACTATTCATTCTGAATGGATAAAAGAAGACATTATTTTAGAAGTAGGGACTTTTACACATTAAAACTACATTTTAGTTTTACATCTAGATTTACAACTGCTAGAGAGCTCGCTTGTCTGGCTGGTCTTCTGTTTCCCACAGCAGCGCTTGCGCTGAGCTGGAGAGGCATTTCCACTTGTTTTGGTAAACTCGTGTGGCTTTTACTGGCCTTGTCATCCAAGGTAGAACGGGGAAGTTCTAGCCATTCTTCTGGAAACATACTGGATAGTGTTTCCTCTTTTTTTTTAGGTCAACTGCATTTCACAGGAACAAGTTAAAAACACTATAAAAGGAAAGAGAGAGTGCAGAACCACAGGGAAGCCGCGCAGGAGCAATGGTTATGGCATTGCTGTTCAGCATGGCAACAGCATAGGTCTCAGGAGGGGACTGCGAATGAAAATGAGGAGCGGTGTTGGGCCACATGGGGGGAAAAAAAAAAATTGAAAGAAAATAGAAGTATCCCTATAGAAGTAAAACCTGTCCTCCCAGTGCCCCTACCTGGAGTGCTCCTTGGCAGAATAAGGGGCTGGCTGCAGACTGGTAGGGAGTGGGGTGCTTGGGCTCTCCCAGGGGCGTGGGGTCTCGCCAGGGAGAGACTAACGTGAACGTGAGCGAGAAGGCAACTCAGGTCACAAGTGGTACGCAGTGCCTCCCTTTCTGAAGAGTAACCGTGTGGAAGGAGATGACTCGGTGGTGTAAGTGTACATGCTCTGGGCATACAGGGCAGAGGAGAGCCTTTCATGGGGTGGAATTTCAACCGTTTAATCAAATAAATGGTCTTCTAATGGCTGCCTCTTTGGTCTTTCAGAGGATGACATGAATAATTACATCAGTCGATACCGCAATGAGCCTAGCAGCGGTAAGTAAGTTTTGCTTGAAAATGTAAATGTGAACGGCATTTTTGCATTGCACCGTGAACCGGGTGCATGTGCCATAAACCAGGTGAGACTGAACAATGATGTAGATCCATCCTGGAAATGAAAGCCACCGCGGCATCTCTTGGGTTGCTCCATGGAAGTTTGTCCCCCAATAGTAATTCTCTAAAGGTTGAAGAGCCCCGGGTTTGCTCGTCCCGCGTGAAGCCCCTCAAAATAGTTTGGCGATCTGGGAGAGGTTAATTCCCCCTAGCTAGGCTGGCCAGTCTGTGGAGCGGTTCGAATGGGCCTGAGAATGAGCAGCGTGGACAAAATAAATGAGAAAAGAAGTGGGGAGCTGGCTTAGGCCAGCACCATGCTGGGAACCTTTCAGAAAGGTTAAACTGAACGGTAGGAAACCTCAGTGGCAGGCACGGTCTGTGACCTGAGGTCAGGCTTCAAATGGACGTATAACGGGAAATCCCGCTGTCGTCTGCAGCATCTAAAATCTGTATATGCAACATAGCTGCTGCTTTCCCTTTTGTGGTCATGTCTTCATTTTTATCTTACCATTATTGAAGTTCAGGTGTAGCTCTCATGTATGTACTACAAGTGTAGTGCTACACCCTTGACTTGTGTAAAAATCTCTTTACAGTATATTTTAAGCCAACAGATAATGTACACACACACACCCCTTACGTATATAAAATTTCATATAGATATAAAAAACAGTGGGTGGGTATAATGTATTCTATATGTATAACCTCATATATACACACCCATATATATGTGGGGATGTATAAAAAAAGTGTCTGCATATACATGTACATATAACATATAGAAAGTATGTATATATGTGTATACACGTATAATGTATTATACGCATATATCCCATATGTACATCCCTATATATCGTATGTATACACACAGTGAAATATACACATATCTAAAAAGATGCACACATCTATATAAGGATGCGTCTGTATATACATACATATATGTATAAAATTGTGTGTGTATATGTGTATGCATATAAATCTATAATGTATTATATATGTATATCCCACATATATACAAACCGATATACATATGTAGATATACATATATATATAAAACAACATAAGTAAAAATACATACATATGTTTGTACATATGTGTATAATGTATCTTATATGTATCTCCAAACATACATACATCCCCATATATATATATATGAGAGAAGATTTATATATGTATAAAGGTATGTGACTGTGGATATACATATATAAAAAGATATATGTATATGTCTATATACATATAAAGATGTGTGTAAGAGGCTGTGTCTATACATAGATATTTTATCTAAATACTTATATTAAATCTATAAAAATATATAAAGATATATGTAGAGGGGTGGGGGGGTGTGAGAGAAAAGGAAAGATGGTCTCTGAATATAACTGTATATATTAGAGGCATAAAAAATGTATCTATGTGTAATGTATTACATAGTTATACCCCCATATATACATACACACATGGAGATATATACATATATATAGATGTATATGTAACATAAGAATAAATAAATGTATGAGTTGTAAATATATATACACACGTATAATGTATTATATCTGTAGATGCATCCCTACATTGATATACAGGGGGAGATAAATATATGCGTTTTAAAGTTATCTTCTGTTTTTTCATATATATACATATAAAAAGATGTGTCTGTGTATATACATACATATTTTGTATGTATTCTGTATTATATAAAATATGAATGTATGTGTGTATGTGTATATATAGAGGTATGATGTCTTATTTATCTATATCCCCATATATATACATGGATATATTAAGATACGGCTATGTCTATGTGCGTATGAATATATATCTACATATGTTTGTATATATGTAAAGATCTGTAAAGGTGTTTGTGTGGGATTGTGTGTGTATATATATTTTATATGTATTATAAAATATGAATGTGTATGTGCATATGTAGATATAACGTAATATCTTTATCCATATATATACGTGAATATATATATAAAGATATGTCTGTGTGTGTGTACATATGTAAGTCTATATAAAGATACATAAAGGGTTGTGTGTATATGTGAATAACTGCATATTCATAGATATGTTATATATAATAAATATACATATATTTAAAGGGGTGTGTGTGACTACAGATTTTATATGTATTCTATAGTATGTATGCATATATAGGTATAATGTAGATCTGTATATATGTGTGTGAAAGACTACACACATAAATTATATATATCTATAAAAAATATGTATGTGCATACACATATAGGTATACAGTATTATTTTTATTTGTATATATCCCTCTATATACATCCCCATTATATACATGGCTATATATAAAGGTGTATGAATCGATACATAGGTGTATGTATGTTTAAAAGGATAGATGAGGGAGAGGTGTGAGTGACTGTGTGTATATACATATATATACACATATAATTTTGTGTGTGTTCACGTATAGGTACAATATGTATTACATATGTATATCCCTATATCTACATTCCGTGTTATACATGCACTGAGATATACATTTCTATATAAAGGAAAGCATTATACTTTATGTACTATATATATGGGGCTTATATATATACACACACATATATATTCCCCATATCTATATGGATAAATCTCTATACAAAGATTATGTGTATATTAAATGGGGGGGGTGTGTGTGTGTGTGTGTGAGAGTGTGTATATGCACACATACGTATTACGTGTGTGTGTGTACATATATATAAATAGATATAGGGTATTATTTATAGCTGTATATCACTCTATATACATCCCCATAATATACATGGAAATACATAAAAAGGGAGGTGTATATACACATAATTCTATGTGTATAATATGTATTACATATAATATGGATGTGTGTGTGTTCACATATAGGTATGATGTATCATCTATGTATACACCTATATACACACACACACACATTCCCCAGATAGATACACAGAGAGCGTGCACATGTATTCTATTTAAAGAAAGATAGATAATTGTATGTGTATATATATACATACATTTATATATAAAGGTGGGGGTTGTCTATTCTGTTTACCAATAGATAATCATATGTATTTAAAGGGGGGACTATGTACTATAGAGAGAGTGTGTGTGTATACACAGAAAAAAGTACATATATAGGTATAATGATGTATTACATATGGGGCTTGTATATACACAGACATATATTCCCCATATCTATATGGATAACTCTCTATATAAAGATTATGTGTATATAAGGGGGGGGGGGAGACTGTGTATATACACATACATATATAAAATACATAGGTGTGTGTCTGCACATATATATAGAGGTGTACAGTATTATTTATAGCTGTATATACATCCCCATTATATACATATGAAGCTATATATAAAAAGGTGTGTGTGTATGTAATTTAAATCTATATAATAAATAAGGGGGGTCTTCATGTATAGGTATGATGTATTACATATGTATATATACAGACACATATATAAAAACAGTAGGGTTGTTTTTGTAGTCTGTTTTAACAGTAGATAGTTGTGTATTTAAAGGGGGGGCTGTGTACTAGGTAGTATATACGCAGTCAATGTCTGTGTGTGCGTCAGTAGGTATAATGTGTTATATATGCACCTCCTCATACATACACACACATATTCCCCATAGTTATATGAATAAATCTTTCTATAAAGAATGTGTGAGCAGCTGTGTGTATATACCTATAGTATATATACTCCTCTGTGTATACATAAAAAGTCTGTACACATAATAGATGCGATACTATTGATATATTAATAGCCCTCTCTATACATCCTCATTATATACATGGATATATATAAAAGAAAGGTGTGTCTCTAGACACGAAGAGAGAGAGATATATTTTACAAGCTATATAAATAAAAGGTTTTGCGGGGATGTGTTTATGTATAGCTATATTTCCATGTATTTATACCACTTTATATACATTCTTTCTCACTTTCCACACATTTATATATAAAGGGGTGTGTGTAAAGTTAGAGAATATGTAATTATAGATCATAGATGTGTGTATATATACACATACACATTTTATATAATATGTACACACAGCTGGAGGTGTGTGGCATTATATATGTCGCGAGGTACCTCTCTCTCCATACAGCTGTGCATCTCTCTCTACAGCTGTGTCAATGAAGGGGGATGTGTGGTACAGTAGCTGTTTTATATACGTATGGACTAGACCTCTGAGAAGCTACACCAGGGCGTCACCGACAACAGAGGGGGCAGAGGCGCAGTGGGGGGGGGTTTCCCACCCACTCGCCCCGCTGCCGCCGGCCCCCCCCCCCG